AAACTAGAGAGACTGCATTTCCTGCAAAAAATGCTAGTGGGAATGCTTCTTGCTGAAAACTTGAGCTGAAAGCTGCTGAAATTGAGCTGAAAATATTTAATAGTGAAAGTGTTAATGCAAGTTCAAATTTAAATAGTTGAAAGAAGCAAAACAAAAGCTTAACTTTGCAGAAAAAGTAAAAAAAAAAAAGCAAAAATATAGTTGAAAAAGCAGAAAACAGCTAAAAGCTAAATTAGCTGAATATAGCAGAAAACATGTAAGAAGCTTAAAACGGCTCCATTCGTGTTCAGAGGCAAAAAAAAAAGTGGCTAAAAAAGTGAAATAGCTGAAAAAGTAAAAATAACTGAAGTACCAAAAGTCATAGGAGGTTTTTCATAAATGAGCTGAATGTTTTCAATTGTTGAAATAGCACAAAAATTATAGTGGCAAAAACATACGGAAGAAAAAATGATCTCAATAGCGTTAATGCTCTGAAGCATTCACATAATAATAGAGTTTAAGTTACAGAAATCACCACCAGAGGGCGCGATTCACACACAATTTCTCAATCCTGTTAAGTTTGAATTCTTTTTTTTATTTTTATTTTTATTTTTTTATTTTTATTTTTTTATTTTTTGCCCTCAGAGTGTTTGAAGAGACTAAACTCTGATTTAACTTTAGGCCTGACAGGTTTTTCTCACTTTGTGCTCTGCAGTAGCAAGAAGGGAGCTGCTTCACGCCGCAGGAAGTGAGCAGCGAGGAGCTGAGCCACGCCGTCGACAGCTGCTCAACTTCTGTGACGACAACTGGATGTCTTAGCGTCTGCATCTGTCTGAGTGCAAGGATTTCAGGATAAATAGCTTCAATAAAGAATCTGTTCAAAAGGTTCTCAGTGTGTTTCCTGGTGTGAATTAAAACAGTCCATTAAAAATAGTCCAACGATAAAATGGACTTTATTTCTATAACTACATAATAAAATGTTTATGGTTTAAATGATCTGTACTGGAGAAAAAATATATTATTTCCAGCCTAAAAATTTTACTCACAGATTTATTTGTYCAGACAAAATTGTTACACGAAAATCTTGTCGTCTTTAGTTTTAAAATTTATAATTGTTAACAAGTTATTACATTTGTTTGACTTTTCACAGTGTAAGTGATTGTGATTTTACCCATTAACTCAAAATATTCACTGTAATTTTTCCACAACTAAAATATCCAACTTACTCCATCAGTTGCAAATAATCAAAACATGTCTGACATGTGAAGTTTACACAAATCTGAAAACAAACAGAAACAAATGATTCTATTCAAACAGAAACATGTATTWAGTGAAAAATATATCAGGTTCCACAAAACACTTTTAGTGACTGTTTACTGTTTTATTTTTGAACAATGTATGTATTTTACTAATTATTATCATTTTATTATAGAAAACAAAGTGATTTAATAACTAAAGTTTTCTAAAGCCACTTCAAAACAGCACAATGACCCCCAACCCCTCAATAATTATGGAGGCACCACTGCCCAAAGTTTCAAACCAAAACAACGACCTTCTGATGAGGTAACCGCAGAGATATGACTGAATCATTCAGCTCGTCATGTCAGTGACCAAACGTTCTGCGTGAGTGAACCTTTTCCCCGTGGTCTGACCCTCAGGCCAGGATTAAAGAGGTGATGCAGACCCAGAAACAGCTGAAGGGATAGTACTGTATATCCTTTTATTGAGCCCCTCAGGACCCCCCAAGAGAAGCTGCAGAGTGTCACTGGGCAGAGGGGTGTCTGTGGATTCCCCTCATGGACCTGTTGCCTCTGCAACACAACCACAGATAAGAAGATGGACGAACATCAACAGACAGAATATAAATATAATTTTATTAAGATTCAGCTCTTAAATATGACACAAACACACCAACTGTTGAACTGTGTTCTGACATCACATGAACGATGAGATTTTAATTACAGATGGAACAAATGGTCCTCAGTTATGATCAGCAGGAATCAGTATAGAAAGGTCCTCTTCTTTCTCATTCTGCCAGCATGTAGAAAACACCCAGCAGCTAAAAACACAAAATCTGGACTCAAACATCGAGCAAATGTGCTTTGTTCAAAACAAAGGGAGATCTAGAGTGGAAGTCTCTGTTTCAGTGACAGACGTTAGAARTCAGGAATAATTTAGTGTTCAGCTCCATAAAAAAAGGGAACAGTTCGTCTCTGTAGAAAATAAGTCTTTTGCTCCTTCAGGTCGAGTTCGGCTCATAGCTGCTGCTGGAATCAGCAGGCGAGGTGGACACAGCAGGGTTGCTGTGAGGCGATTCGGGGCCCCGTGGAACCACACTGTCCCCCGTGGGGCCCACGGCCGGCTCTGTGCTGATGCGCTGGACGATGCTGGACAAACAGTCCAAACTGGAAATGAGTGACGTTTTACTGCTGCTGCACTCTGCAGAGGAGAAACAAGAATGGTTAGAAATAAGACTGATAATAATAATAATAATAAT